GCACACACTGTATACATGTATATACACACATACACCGAAGCTAACGACTTATTCTTTTAAGACGCGCTTAAACTTCCAAAGGACGTCTTTCCCGAGCAGACGCCATATTCTCTCGACTTTTCGAGAGCTTTCCAAGGGAATATCCCAGTCGCTCACTGCCCACCGGAGAATAAAACGAGGAAACCCATCGCAGTAGATAAGTCGTGGCATAAATGCCAACACATGTCTCATGATATTTTCTTCTGCTTCTGTCGCGATGCGCTTCATCTCCTCATTCCTCATCCCCCTCGAGCCACCCTCCGCCCGATTCGTTCTTCGAGCTTTCATCCGTATTTCACGTGCCAGCTTCTCTCCGTTTCTATCCCGAAAAGCTCCCTCTAACCTGTTCTCTTTCTTTTCCGCGCTTTTTTTCTTCTTTCCTCGGCCAATAGTCTTTCGATCTCGTGTGCTCCGCGCATGGAGGCTGCTTGATATTCAGACTCTTTCCAGTTGTCGGGCTGTATTCGATCGGGAAAGAGAGGGAAAACTGCCCCTCGGACCAGCGAGGACTTTTTCGAGAGCCACGACCTCTCGTCTACAATAAAACCCTTCTTTCGGCCGGCCGACTAATCTGTGAACGAAAAAGCTGTTCCTTTGAAAAGAGTAGATCGAAGGGTGCAAAGCACGCACGGTTCAGCTACTCAAGGTTTTGGGTTATGTTTTCTCTCCGTTCTGGGAATTACGTAATTTTCTTCCAATACGATGGCAAGTTTCGTCTGCCAGACGTGATATCGACCAGCGATTAAAACGGTAAGATTATTATCGAACAGTAAGAAGAATAAAGTTTTGTATTTCGAAGACCGTTTTAAAATCGCGTCCATTCTACACGGTAAGTTTTTTTTACCCGTATCCGAATAACAAAGTTTCAACAAGCTGTATCGTCTCGGACATATACTTCTTCGCGTAGTTTCCAAGAATAGATTTCCTTTTTGCATGTCACGAAAGAGAAAAGTCGAGGAATCTCCAGTTAAATCTAGAGAATGTCATGAAACGCGACGTTACGTGTGTTGCAGACCGTGAAATATGTCTTGGAGAGACAATCCAAAATACATGATAGAACTTCGCCGGACGGATCAAACTTCGTCGTGTCGCGAAGACTACAAAAAGAAAAACAAGAGCGGGGCACAGTCCAGAAAATGATCCTGAAATTCTTGTTCGATTCACCAGCTATCTTTATAAATTCGTGAAAAAGATTTAGTTCGATTTGCTTGTCGTATGTTCTACTACTGCGAAACAAACTATTGCGTTGTCTAATAAACTTTGGCTCCTATCGCAAACCAAACTGTGTAGACACGTTTCCATCGATTTTTGTAAACACTATCTCGGACAGGGACAACCGCAGAAGTTAAATACACGACAAGCAAATTGTAGTAAATCGTTTGCAACGTTGAACAAACATCACAGTCGATTTTCTCGAAAACGGAACCACCATCTGGTCATAACAATATATGACAGACCAGATCTAGCTCGTGGACGATAATTTGTCTAATCTAACAGCCCTCAGTCACCGTTTACGAGTGTTGAATAGCTAAATCATCCAGGAATTATATTTTAAACAGCAAATAATTTTGAGAAAAAACGATCGTCACGGAGAGGCTGAAAATATTCGCAAAAAGTCGACTGGGCGCATAAAATCTCTTCGTGAATCAGTCGTCGTTTGGAAATCACTGAACCGTGACCCATCACAGCTGGGTCATCGGTACTTCGGAGGCAATCAATTCGGCGCTACCCTTTCAAATCGAACGATACACACGACGTAGAGTGAAAAGCTGTAAAATGGCCGGCCAAAAATGGATTTTATCGATCATCAGTCGTGTAACGGTCCGCGAAAATCGACTGAAAGCGAAGGATCGTTACAGGGAAGCTTCGTAAAATACGTCCAAAATTTATGAATCTACGAAACTTCATTTTCGTAGTCGCGAAGCTTTCGGAAGCATGAACTGAATCGGCGAATCGAGCTTTCGTTCGCCTTCGTTCTCGATGATTTGTTCCATATCACGTCGCATCGAAGGCGATATTTCGCTCCGCATATTTTTTTGCAATCCTTTTGTTTCGATCAATACCGTTCGTCCAATATTGATTTAAAACATCGACGCGTGACGAACTTTCAGAATTCTCTCCTGAACATTTTTCAATTAACTCTCACGCGACGAAACGAACAATATTGTTCTTTCGAATCAACGTGTACGTGTACGTGTACGCGATCGTATGTTCCGGTTTTTTTTATGCGGAGAAACTCCCTTAGGGAAGGGAGAGAAAACGATTCCCCTCCCCAGGCTATGTATGAAGCCATTCCACAGGTGTTCGAAGAATTGAAAAGTTTCATTATACAGTGAACGTTGGATACATGCCCGAACTGATCTATGGCTTAAATGCCCGATGTTCATCCCCACCACTGAGAACAGATTTCCTCTAAGAGGGAATTCTGGTATGACAGCGTTAAAACTTAGAGTTTTGTTTTTTATTCTTTTCTAGTAAAGAATTGAAAATTCTATTGTAGTAGACAAATGTTCTATTCCCTTTCCTTTCTTCCTGCTGTCACGTTTAATCTCTTCTCCGTGCGGCAAGCCACCACAGAATTAATAATTGTAATAATTTTTCGAGATTCAATCAAGGGGTACAAATATCCCCAGCGAAATATAAACGATAATCCTTAAAGGTACGCTTGAAAATATTAAATTATAATTCGGACGATACCGGCGAGTTAATTCGATTCACGATTCAATAAAACGAGGAATTATTTCAATTCCGTATCGCGCTTAATTCTCGCAAGCACTAATTGTTTGAAAGTGGGGGGAGAAAACGTTTTGCACCCCGATAAATCTCCCGTTGAATTACGCTCGCCCGCTTGAATTTAATAATGCATTTTCCCGTTTAATTAGGGCGTACGGAGAACTCAAATATGTTCTTCCACTGATCGGGTAAACGTTTGATGAACGAACGAAACTTACGTACGGAATCGCGTCTGTTGAAATAGGATTAAATCCGTGGGAGTCTATCGAGGAAGTAGGAAAACCGAACAAATGGAAATAAAGAGTTTTGGAATCTCAGGTATCCACAGATTTAGTCAAGGGATCTACGATACACAGTTGATCTACAGTTTACGGAATCACGAGGCATTTTCGCGGATCAGTGTGCTGAAACGAAACAAGCTAATGAGACTGAAAGATTGAAGAGCATTTGGCCGTCATATTCTCCTGTTGGCCTCTCCTTTCCTGATTTGCGCTTCAAGCAAATCAAACGTCACAGTCGTACTTCGAAATAATTCACGAGCTCGATACAGTGATTTCTGTCAGAAATCGCTCTACGCTTTGGTCCACAACATTGTGTCGCGCACAGAAACGTTTCCACCAGCGAGAATTTGCCCTTAAACGTCTGGAGAATTTCCAACGTACTTTCACGTATTTCACAGCACTTATTATCCAAATAATTTAAAATTTCATTATCTAAACGCTCATATTAACCTGTTAGTTCGAATACTAGAAGAAGTTCTACTGTATACCATCGGAAGATAATCCTGCTACCTGGCACCGATTGAAATTATTGTCAACTATTGTTCTTTCGATTCTCAGTCGCACGATTACTGCAAATTACCAAAACAGTAAAACGAAAACGAAACGTATTCGACCGTAGAATGTGTCTCTTATTCGCGGTTATCCTCGCAGTTAATTCTTAGCTGTTTACTAGGAACGACGATGCGCATTTACCGGCAAACTATCCCGAATATCACGCAGAATAATTATTTTCATTAATTTCATTGTTCCAGTTTCGTACACGCGCGGTGGCACGCGCGTTAATGCTGGTCGTTTTCTCATTTGCCGGGATGGCAAATCCGTCAGCCACGGCCAGCTTTAATTAACTGACCGCTCTAGACCGTATTTTCGACTAAAAATTCGATCTAATTAATGTTGCGCCAATGCCAGCAGCGATTTCACCAAGTTTCCTCGCCGCTTTCCGAATGCTTTTCAAATGTATGCGTAAATTTGACCATCTGTATTTGACGACGACAATTTGCAAATCCTCGCTAACGATGCAACGCTCCATGGAAACCAATTCCACGTAGTTCTAACCTAAATATTTAAAATTCTAGGTATTACAGGTTATACGATTCTAGGAATTGAAAATCCTACGGATCAAAGCTTTCGGGAATCTCAATTTCATTATTCTGAACTCTTAAAACGTCAAAGTTCCAAAGAGGAATTTTTTTTCAGTGTTCTAAGAAAATCAGAAAATTTAATATCTTCCATGCAAACTGAAAAAAAAAGATCCACTTCGAACTTGGCTAATAGAGAGAAAAGGAATATACTTCGTTTGAAAACATTCTGAATTTTTCAACTCGAACGCGCCCGGTTGATGTAATTGCTTTTTTGTCGCAATAAAATAATAGCGTTCGTCCGGTTTCTTTTTTCACACGAGAACTGAAATATTCCCCTAAAAGGAGTTTCATTTCGTACCGAGGCTACTTTTAAAAAAGCACGAACCATTCTGATTGTAACGAAACGCCGTGGCGCCATAAATTCTTCATTACATGTCGAGAATTTTATAACTCGATAATGTACAGCGACCAAGCAACGTGGAAATTTCCGTAGACGATTCTGGAACTTTTTTAATGAAGCGTACTTTATGAAGTATCATAATACCCGGTTTGCTCGCCGTTAATGGCATTATACACGAAATGCATTTTAAAACTATTTAATGAGAGAACGGTTCTCATCCTTTGAAAGTTTCTTTCTACAAACTGCGAATAAGATAAAACGGCGATTATTACGACGAAAAATTCATTTCGCCCAAGTTACATATTAACCTACACGAATAAACCCTGGATCAACTTTCGTTCGTTTTACTTTCGATTTGGTGGATCTGGCGTTTAAGAAGTAGCTTGATAAAAATGTTGTTCTATAGTCGAATCAATTCTTCGATCTTAGAATAGGTAAGAAAGTTGACTCCATGCTTTGTTTTAGGTCTCAGACCGAAAATGAAGAATCATTATCGAGCTCATCAACTCTCCGTCTGGCTACGCCTAGTTCCGGAGCTTCATCGCGCGGGAATGGAGGACGTGGACTCTAGGCACAATTTATTCCGAGGACACTCGGACCCTAGCCTGTACGACGGATCGGTGAGACCGGATCCTTTGAGCAGGATCAGCGAGGAATTCAAAAGGAAGAACATTACTACCGAGCCACCGACCACGACCGATTACAATGCAGCCACGTGTGTCAGTTACATCCAGAGTACGAACCTTCAGAACGTTCATAACGCCAGCACGGACACTTTGGCCAGTTTGGACGCAGCTGGGTACGTAACAAACAGTCTCACTCGGTACATCGTTAATAACGGAAACGTTAATGAACCGGTATCTTATCGAGCCAAGTGTTTAAACTCAATACTGAACCGTGTTGTATATATAGTAAAATTTTCTTGGATAAAACTCATCAAATCGTTGAATGTTCGATTTATGTCCACCAAAACAGGTACGCCGCGTACTCGACAGCCCTGAGCGTCACGATTGCCATCGGCTGCAGCTTGTTGATTCTCAACGTTCTCATTTTCGCGGGCGTCTACTATCAGAGGGACAAGACGAGGCTCGAAGTGAAGAGCCTTCAGCAGCAACAGATGTTGAATCAACAGTGCGGACCGCGTGGCTTCACTGAGCTTAAACAGCCGCCACCGCCGCATTCCCACTTCCCTGGTGGCGGTCAGGTTATCGTCGACGTTGAAAACGAGATGTTACGAAGGTACTCCACCTCTCTCGACAAGTGCTAAAAGTAAAGGAGCGGCGTGACTTGATTAATTGGCGCGCAGTGGAGCAAGTCAACGAAAAGGTGGTCACAGATCCTCCGAGTGTTCTTACCCCAATCTTAACACGAACATCATGACCCTTTTTGTCGTATCCCAATTGTTCGTGGCTATTCGCCATGTTCCCTTTCATCAATAAATAACACGAACAGCTCGTAAGAGACGAAAGTTATGCCATTCGTACACCATCATCTTTACCATTTTTTTGTAAATATACTTCTCACGCCACCCACCCGAAAACGCGTCATTTATCTCGAAAGACTCGCATCTGCTCGCTCGATGGCCACCTTTTCCCTCATTGCAACCCACTGCACGACTTTCAATTTTCTTTATCAACATGCTTAACTGATTGCGTCTTGTTCCCGGCCGTTACGGAGTTCGTAAAGATCGATCGTCGTTACAGGAACGTAATGAAAGGCCCTCCGAACGATCCCAACACGCTTCTCCAACAGGGCCAGGGAACTCACACGTTGCCTCATCAACATCACTATCAAAAGCAACATCAGCAACAGCATGCCACTCTTCCCCGAGCTTCCGTCATACAGGACATGAACGCGCAAACCCAAGTGAGAGCCTATCGTTTTACTCCAAACGTCATTTTCAACTTCCCACGGAAATGAGTGAAGATACAACGCGTTTTTGTGCTGCTAACGGTTTCTCAAGTTTTCCTAGTTTTTCCATCTCTTTAAAACTTGAGCCTCTAATCTCCTTAAAGTATCGAGTTTCCCTATCATCGTACAACAAATTTACTTCTCCTCGTTTACAGTGTACGGAGCGATTAATTAAAAATAGTTAACGTTGTCAGTTCTTAAATTTCAATAAGTCGCAGAGAAACTATTCGTGAAAATCGCATTTAATTCGGACGATCTAGCGTAGAAAACCATTTCGAGTATTTAAAGAGGACAAATATCGCGTGTCTTGTTAACAGGAAACATATTCGCGGGAAGGTTAATCTCTCAAAAAATTTCCATTGCAGTTTATTATGTTACTGAATATTTAACGAGCGACCGTGCACCGTAACGAGTTTTAGTTATTACCAATTTGTTGTACGTAATCAAGACATCTCTTCATTCGACGAAACGAGGAAACCTTAAAAAATAATGCGCCGGATCCATAACTCTTATTATCCATAAACAGAAACTTTATTTGCGGAGGGGGGAAACTCGTAGCCCCGGGTCGAAAATTTTACGTTCGTCCGTTGATTTGAAAAAGTTCAGTTAACGACCGTGACACGTTCGAAAGTTTAATTCACAATCCTATTAAGAAACTTTTAAATTCCTAAGCCGCGCTGATTAAATTTAGACTGCAAAGCTTCTGACATTCTTCGTGGGCCATTATTCCACCTACGAACAGTATCATCGCCTATCTCATTACTACTATGAGTTCGTAACCAGCGAAAGGTTCAATAAACGAAAATTTAACGGTTCAGAGTTAACTAACTTCTTTTGATTTTGACTTTCGTGTTTTCCAGAGTTTTCAATTTTCAACGAGAATTCACGAGTTTTTTTGTTTAAGCTGACATGACGTGAACTAACTTTAGATCTAACAAACTACCTCTACAGATAAAAAACTTTGATATTAATTCTCGCTTTATATCCAAACGACTGTTTCCTGTTCCTTAAATTTATTTCTTTTTTTCTCGAAGATTACCTCAAATCGAAGAACCGAAGCTTATTTTCAGAGACAATAGTCTTCAAAGTATCCAATCATCGTATTTAGTTTTCAATTCCTTTCCGAGAAGGTCTCCCTCGGACTCCCGATAAAGATCCATATTCATTGAATAACATAAATTGGCGTTGTTAACAGTTGGCGTAACTCGATTTTATTTTAAATTGGTACAACAGTCTGAATTCAAACCGACGAAAAGTCTTTTTATCGCCGAGAATTTCATTACTAAAGAACTTGACGAAGTTGAACGGTGAATAACTCGAGAACAAATATTCGACGCTTTGTCTAGTACCAAGAAAACTTTCTCGACAATAAACGACATTTGTGCCAACGTAACATCGAATAATACTTTTAAGAGTAATTCTGCTTTCTATCTGTAGTTTATAGAAAGTTCCTAAAAGTGTAGATGTTAAAATAACGATAAATATTCCAGTACTGGCGATATTTTAACCTGACCCGCACGAAGGTTAACAAATTAACATATAAAAATTTTAATATTCACGATCCAAGTTCTGGTAATTAATCCTATTCGAGGCTTCTGGGTGTAAGCAATGTCCTTATGGCAAAAGCTTCGATAACATGTAGCTAACTTCATTAAAAGTCTCGCGAATCTATCTATACTATCTACATGATTCGATACATCCAAGGTTGTACCATCAACAGATACATCGGGGATAATTTAAATGCTACATAAAGCATCCATCTATCAAATCATTTGTCAGCTGGTAAGACATGGAAAAAGACAAACACTTAAATCTCAGATCATTATCCTCAGAACCTTAACGACTCTACCTTTAACGAGAGGAAGTTTCGTGGTATCCCCCTAATTTTTCGATGAAACTTTTGGTGAGGTATTCTTGAGGTGGCCTTTAATAAATCTACGAAACAATTCGGTGCAAAAGATACTTGCTTGGCCAAATCGCGTTGATTCTTATAAGTCAACGTTCATGATAGATGTACCAAAACTTGAACATTTTTTTATTTAAAAATAGCAACGAACCGCATCGAATTGCTTCGTAGGTTTATTAAGGGCCACCTCGCGGGCACCGCAAAAAAATTTCATTAAAAAATTAGAGGACACCAAACAGTTTCCGCTCGTTAGTGAACATTTTTCAACAGGATACGGTTTACATTAATCCATGCTAAAGTTAACGATATAATTTTCCTTCGACCTGAAAAACTGAACCCGTGTCCCCGACTCCGACCACGAAGAACCGGTAACTTTCTAACGAGCTTGAACTTTCAGGGCCCACCAAACGGATCCATACACCTGACAGTACCAAGAGCACCACCACCCCCTCGAGCAAAGAGTCCGCCAGAAAACCAGCCCCTGCTGCAGAGCGCCACCGTGTCAAGTCGCGTGTCCCAGGCAGCAATGAGCGAGATGAGAGTGTGATGCTTGGACCCCCCTCCGAAACCAGTCGTTCCGGATGTTCTGACGGCGTCGACCTTGCTTTAAGAGTCTCGTCGATGCCGTTCGAGGTCCCGTCATGGTGAATTTGAATCGACCAAGTTCGTACAAGTTCCCTGGGATTTCAAGACTACGGCGAACAAGAGGCTCGACTGGTACCTGGCCCGGACACGTTGCTTCCAATCAACTGCCTGCATGTCCAGGTAACAACGAGCCAGCGACTAACGGAGGGGGGTAGATGGAGCTTTCGCTCGATGTTGAAGAACACGACGAAAGATCGAGAGGAAAGGAGAGAAGAGATCGAACACGAGGTATCCGTCGTAAAAAACGACGTCGCGCGATGCAATCGGATCCACGGAAGCAAAAACGAGTGATCTTGGTGTGATCATGGGTGTGATTAGTCGACGTTTGGTTGTTTTACTCTGCAAAAGGATAACTCGAGAACTCTCGAGAGGATCGTTGGATCGAGGCAGGAATGTCCAACGAACGTTCTGTGATGGTTATTTTAAATGGTTCGAGGAACGTTTTGTGATGGTTATTTTGAAAGCGAGAGGACTCTTTCGTACGAACATCGAAGGCGAATCTTGACACCGTGGACGTCTCGACGGATACCGGAAGTCAATCGTTAATCGAGGACGATAGACGGACCGTGAATATCGTCGATGAGGACGAGATTCCCGTCGCCGGGCAAAAGGCAAAACACCTTTCTACGATCAATCAAACTTCAATCAAACATCCTTTCAAGACGAAATCAAACGCAGTACATTCAGCTAGCTAGTCGATAAAAATAAATTCTAGGTGTTACGGGAAGAGGGAGAGACGCTCAACAACATGAATCGATCATGGAGACCCGTGTATAAAACGCTATCCACTACGATGTTAGATGTTCCTTGTACATAAAGTGAATTTATACCGTAAGAACGCCAAAAAACGTTTGCTACTTTCTAAGAGAACCTGTACTCGTGTCGCGTACCATTTAGTCGTCCGTTCTTTCCCTTTCTTTCTCCATTTTTCTGTAAACGTTACGCGGTGTAGGTGCGCGAGATCAATGCTCAGATCGTAACAAAAACTGCCCATTAACCAGTCGACTAATCGCTGCGCTTTTGATTGATCGAAGTAAAAACCGACGAACATTTCTTTTTTAACCTTTTTCCTGACTATTGTCGTACGATGTAGCGATAACATATTACAGACGAGCAGTATACTTATGTTTCGTCGAACGAGTCAACGGATAGGATTTTATGCGAATTGTTTCATACATGTATAACAGAATTAAAAATTTTTTGACGCACAATGTAATAAATTCCGTTCGAACACCTCCACTTCCATAGATAGCTCTCACTTTCTACCAAAATCTAAACGTAACAAAGACTGATCGAACAACCAATAGTTCTATCTGATAATTGATAGATATAATCGAAATTTGTAATCATAATTGATCGTGCAAAAACAAGTTCACTTTCGCCAATCAAAAGCTTCGATTGTCGACGAGCAACGCGGTTCATCGTCTCAGTGCGCACAACTGTCACCTAACTGGTCTCGTCTTTCATTCAGAAACGAAAATCAAATCGAGCCGCAACCATTTCTACGAAAGACTGTTCGCTTTCACCGATAAACGTTGCGACTGTACCGCGACACATGCAAATCACAGTTTTTTCTATGCTTTTGGTAACACTGCGAAATCCGCCACCGAAAAGAAGATTTCGTTTCGCTCGAATCACCACGTGCATTGCAAAAAAAAAGACAGAAAACGATAGAATAACGACGCCTCGAGACAGACCTGGCTCACATTCGTAATTTAGCCGGAATTTAATCATTAATAATGATACGGTCACCGTAAAATTACAGAACAAATTTATACAGAGTGTTCTAAACACGTATTCAATTAGAAAGTGTTTTCTAAGGGATCCAGAAAATTATTTTTATGGAAAAAATCGTTGCAAAGGTGTTCGGTACTTATTTACACGAACTGATTTTTGCTAAATGAGAGAAAGTAGATATTTAACGAATACTAAAAGCCTAGTGACTGTAAAAAACACTCGGCTGTGAATTTTCACACTCTATCTTTAAGTTAAACGGACTGTAAAATAATTTTGATAATCTGGTTACAGTTCAAAGTACGCTTAAATATTGTTCACGTTACTCTGGTAACAAGAAAATTTTATTGAAAGTGAAAATAGTGGATAAACGATACGGAATAAACATTCCATGGAAACTAAAAAATTTCGAATGTGACTAGGTCTGGACTGTACACGAGAACGTTGTTGTTAAAGGTGCACATAGGTGACTGTACACCGCGTAATCGAGATTCATAAGAATCCACGCTAATTCTCACAAATGTCAAAGTGTTAAGAAGAAAAATGATTCTTCGATTAATACCGAACTCAAAGTGTGCGTGACTTTTTGTAAAGATATACGTATACATATAGGTGTAACATAAAGACTTAAGGTAAATCCGTTATTATACGTAACACACTGCCACAAAACTCGGAGATTTGCGAGAAAAAGCACAGCAGAGTGTTTTTAATCGATCAGAATGACAAAGGGCCGACATCCGATTTGATTCGATTCTTTGAAATACCATATTACTATAAGGAGTATCTTGATCAATGTGTGTAAATTTTTGCATTAAAACGAATTGTATTTTATTATAATTTTGTAGTAACAGTATCCGAATTGTTCTGTTTTTTTTCTCAAGTTTGCAAACCTTAAATCGCTGATCCGGTATAAAGAATTTTGAATTCAATTTCGATCACCCAACGCTGTAAATTCGAAAATTTTTAAGGAATTCTATTGTTTCACTTGTTTTATTACGAAATTTAGTATCGCACGTGCATTGGTTTTAATACTATAAACATTATCTTTCAAAGATTTGGTCAACGAACGGAGTTTAACACTTTCACTGATGTTGAACGATGAAAATCAAAATCTTGTTATCGGAATAAAAGAAAATAATTAAATAGCTGTTAAAACCACCTTTGTTGATTTTAAAAAAAAGGAAGAGTACACGAATATAGAACTTTTCATACGCGAAAGGCTCACTTTGCGTTAGCACCAGTAAACGTGTTAAAGGAAACTGTCATGATCGATGGACTTAAAATTCTGTTTTAAATAGAATGAAACTCAGTCGTAAAAACCGAGCTTAAAGGAGAAAAAAGTGCACGTGTTAGTGAAAAAGAACAGAAAATCAAAGTTTTTGTACATACATTAAGCAATTAAAGCAGAATGAATCAAAGGATGCGTTTTCAATGTTGTCGCGAAGGCGTGTGCGACGTTCGAAACCCGATCGGTCGTTTTCGACATTACCGTGAACGAGATAAGAACAAGGAACAAAGTTTATTGCGCCGAACGATGCTTTTTATTTAAAAAAAAAGAAAGGACTCGCGGAAGTAACGGAATTTCGTGAGAAAGTTACGTAATAAATATCATCAAGTATGGACAATCCGAATATATTAAAGACTAAAAAAGGAAAAGCGAGTAATAATAGACGTAATTAAGAACAAGCCACGGTCGGTAAAGGAGAATTACGATGAAAAGAAACACTGAACCGGTTAAACAGATGTTTAAGAAAATTTAAATAACGTATATTACATATACATATTATGGATTGTAATGAATTTATTATGACGAATATTATTACATTTATGTGACTTTTAGCTGGCCTTGCACTCCGCGTGAAAGATTTAAAAATCCATCTTTCGACCGAGGGCGAGACTACCTGTTACGTTTAACATTTCTGTTATCAAATTGTAAATATATAACAAAATACATGGAGATACTAATTGTACGTGTTAAATGTTTTTCCCAAAAGATGCTATGAATTTCTCTCTCTCATTTAAATACGATACAAAGCTAACACGCGAACTGAAATACGAACTTGATAAAAGACTCGATAGTTTTTTAACGACCTCTTCGTTTAAAGAAAGGTTGATCTTGAGGATTATAGTCTAACTAAAAGTGATTAAAACTCTTTCTTCCCTTATCTTTTTCTACCCAATCTAAAGTTTTCTACGTCAGACTGCCGACAGTTCTAAACACGCCAAATTTCACCGAACGAATGACGACCCCGTACCACAGACAAAGTATACGAATAGACCTTTCACCTTATGGACTTTCGTGGCCTAATCTGACTGCCATACCGACCTGAAAATTCGGAGGAGATTTTAGCGTCCTCTTCACATGGATGGCGGTCAATCGAGAAACTATTCACTGAATTAGTATTGATAAGCAAACAGTGGTAGTGAGTTGACTACGGAAGGGATTAAAATTCATTTCTGAATCTGTTGGTAACGCGAATGACACGAAAATGGTAATGGAGTTTCGAGACTCCATAAAAATAGGCCGCAAAAATACATTGGATGAAACTAACTTACTGAAGAAGTTCTATATTTATGATGACCTATGCAAAGCGGATCGCAGCCAATTTGTTAATATTATTCAGTTTTTAATTAATAATTGCATTACCCAGCTAAGAGTGATACGATTATTAATTAAACGCTAAATCGTATTATCCAGGTCCCACCACGTGGAGGTTGCTGCGAATGGAGACCCGCCCTAACCAATTCCCAATCACCCTCCATTCTATCCAACAATCGTTGGTCGAAGAAGAAACAAACGAAAGTGCAACCAACGAAAGAGTTTCTTGAGAAAGAATTTGCCTGTAAATTCTCATCAATAAAACAGAGAAATGGACCAAAATATTACCTGCCTGATATAACGAGTAATATAGAGAACCAAATTCCTGCCTAACTATAAATCTAACTTATTAAATATAATAAATTGGGAAACACGAAACTGTGAAATAAAATAAATGAGCCCAGAGAAACCAGTGACGTAAAATAGACATGAACAAGAGCACAACATATACAATAAGCAACGTTTAAGACAAGAATAAAATGTGGGAACAAACACATTTACGAACAAGGAACCAGAAGTGAAATATGTAAACAGCCCCACGACACGACGTTCCGCTTTGTCCGTCAGCC